AAAAATAGCAAGCTGAATTCTTTCTTTTCTTCAATCTAGGCCAAATTACCAAAGACACTCCTTCCTACACCCAAGAATGTGCATGCAAGGGGATTTTCTACAATGAGGTTATTTGTTCAGATTCATTTTCACTGAGTTATTTAAACAGTACAGCTTCAAAGGTGCTCAGAAGAGGTTCCTTCTTTCAATAATTGGGAGACTTGTTGTGTAATAAATGCAGAAGTTTGCATATTCATTCTCTTTCACAAGTAGCTTTACACAACAATAATAATGCAAGTTAAAGGATTCTGCAGAGGAGGGGATTGGAGGTCTTGAGCACCAACTAACTTTGCTAAATTCTTCCCCGAAGTCTGTGTCCTTTGGTGTAAGCCACAAATGCTTTGGAGGTCCTCAGTGCCCCAAGAACGGCTTGAAGTTCTTGGGAAAAGCTGGCAAAGGTCACTGTGTGCCTGCGCCAAGCTTGCTGAGATCACTTCTCAGCCCGTGGGCTAGAGCAGGTTTGCCAAGCTTGGATTCCCAGCTGCTGGGTACAGCTCTCACTCTATGTCCCAGTGTGGTGAAAGTTTGTATGTGCATGCAGGCACAACTGGGAACTGGCTCTGTAGTGAGTGGGCAAAGAGTTGGCAAGAACCACCCTGGACAACGAGTAGACAGTAAAGCTGCATAACGAACCAGAGCAGCTGTGACAGCAGCTCGCAAACCACTTGGAACAGTAGCCAAGACAGTTTTGTTTCAGTCAATTTGCCCTCTTCAGGATCTGAGTGAATTCCAAATATGGAGGGGCAGGATGGATTTCAAGATTCTCTAAATGGTTTCTAAAAATTCAGTGCCTCCAGATTAAGGAAAAGTATCAAGGGAGTTTGATATCTCTTTTTTAGGATGGTTGTTCTTTTTTCGTAGGGGGGAGGGGGGTCACACCCAGCGATGCACAGGGGTCACTCCTGGTTCATGCACTCAGGAATTACTCCTGGCTGTGCTCGGGGAACCATATGGGATGCTGGGAATCAAACCAGGGTAGGGCCACGTGCAAGGCAAGTGCCCTGCATGCTGTGCTGTCACTCCTGCCCCTAGGATGGTTTTTCTTAAAAAGGAATCAGGATACTGGGATCCTGATTCCTTTTTAAGAAAAACCATCCTAGGGGCCAACTGTACCTCATGGTGTCTCACTAATAAAAATTATATATATATATATATATACATATATATATATATACACGTTTGCCACAGAATGCTGAGTGATATAAAAAAAAGGAATCAGGAAATGAGTCAAAAAGAGAAGTGGATGTTGGAGTTACCTGTTTTCATACTGTCTTGCTGAAATGACAGAACTTCACTTAGTATAGCTTGAAATGATTTTAAACAGACAAAAGATCCATGCTCTTCTTTGTGCTTCATTTGCCTATCTTGAGTATGTGTGTATATGTATAGTGTATATATGTGTGTGTGTATATGTATACATATGTGTGTATATATGTATATATTATCCACGCTTGAAGGTAGGGCCATTGGTATCCATCACTCCTGATGGACTTGTGGGACATCATGTCTTCACTTTGGATCAGAGGAAACTATGACAAAATGGGGGACTGTCAGAGTGTCTGTTGTCATCCTGACACCTTCACTTCTTGTGCATGTAAATCTATTTCTCTAGCTGTAGGTATGTGTCTGCATCTCTGGTAGTTTGTTGTGGCCCTGATCACACACAATATTCACTGTTTTTCCCTTTTTTATATATTATTTCTATTAGTCTTTTTTGAATTTGTAGGTTTTGAGAACCTGTGTTAACTAAAGGAAAGATTTCTATCACTGGTGCAGAAATAGAACTACTTGTCATTAGCTATTGTCTAGTAAAGTCTGTATGACACAGTTGAAAATTCCTTAGAGAGAATTTGGAGATCTAATCAACGGTTGGGCCTTCAGAGTCTGTGTAAGCCTAAGCAAAATTTGATTCTACAAAGCTAATAGTTAATTTTAACCCTAGGATGTGTTGTAATACATACCTTAAGTAATATAAATTTATTTTAAACAGTGACCTAAAGAGCTTTTAAAGATAAAAATAAGAGGTTTGAGACAGAGTACAGTGGGAAGTCGCTTGCCTTGTACTGACCTGGCCCAGATTCAACCCTAGCACCCCAGATCATTCTCCAACTCTGCCAGAAATGATCCCTGAATGCAGAACCAGGCATAAGCTCTGCGCACTGCCAGGTATGGCCCAAGAAACCATAACAAATTAATTAAAAATAATAATAAAAAATTTTAGTCCACACATTAAGTTTCAATTTCTTCAGATCAAAGCCTTAATTCTAAAATCAATTCTGAAGAGCAGGTAAGGTTTAGAAACATCACTCTGGATGCCTTATTATTCCTTTTGAAACATACACATGTAAATACCAAATGAATTTTTAAAGTTGCACAGGGTAGCAAATACTCATAATACTTCTGAAATGAACAAGTTTATTTTATGCCAAGTGTATGGGGACACAACTAACAACAGGCAGGATCGCTATTAGAAATTCTGAGGCCTTCTTTCACAACCCAACTGAAGTTTCCCAATCTTTGAGGCATCCCCTATCTTCATGTATATCAAATGCTCTGTAAATTGGAAATAAATGACATTGTGGCTGCCTCAAGGCAATACATATGTCAGATAAAATTCAGCTCTGAAACATTTATTTTCAGTTTCTTTGCCAAAACATCTTTCCTGATGGCTTATCAAGAAAAGAGGCTTATCAAGAATGTAACAAAAGAGGCTTATTAAGAATCTAACAAATCTTAGTTTTTCAATTGCTTTATGGGCCTGAGATGCAATATTGAATAAGGTAAATAGTTACAAATAAATTAAACATAGTGTTATTTCACTCCTTTTTGTCATAAAGCTCTAGCTTCTTGAATCACTAAAATGAAAAGTAAGAAGTATATTGTGTTAGGTTCCAACTACTGATTACATACTTAGGTCTCTCTCCACTCCTTCCAAACAGAATGAAATAAAAGTCCATAGAAAAAGCAACATGAAGATTAAGAACAGTTATTTTTCAGGGCTGGAGCAATAGCACAGCAGGTAGGGCATTTGCCTTGCATGCAGCCAACATGGCTGACCCGGGTTCGATTCCCAGCATCCCATATGGTCCCCCGAGCACTGCCAGGAGTAATTCCTGAGTGCATGAGGCAGGAGTAACCCCTGAGCATCGCCAGGTGTGACCCAAAAAGCAGTTATTTTTCAACTATTCTAAAATGTCTTTAAGTTTTAAAAAATCATTATTATAAATGCTTAACAGAAAGTTGATGCATTGAGGGATGAGGATTAAAAAGGCTGTTACAAGTAAGGATTTCAGAGTAGCAAAAGATTTTTCACAGATTATTTTTTATGCTACAGTACAAGATGATTTATCCTAGAATTTCAAATTTACTAACCAACATGAGAGAGCTTCCAAGTCCATAACTTCAATGAATATTGATGGTTAAATCTTGGGTGGTACTGATGAATTCTACTTTTTTCCTGGATAAATCACTACCAGAAATGAACAGAATAGGACCTCTCAGGTGCCTAGCACCTAGGCCACTTCAGGCAGGAAGAGAAAGAGAGATGACCACTTCAGCAAAGTTTATGTCTAGGGAGCAATTCCCACTGAAATTACACCACTGACCCTGAAATGTGACTTCAATGAAATTCTAGAAAATGAAAAAAAAATTCTCTACTTATATTTCACATAACTATATTTCTATTTCCTTTTCTGATGGTAGTTCTGCAGAGCAATGAATTCTAGAGAACAGAACTGTAGTAAATAAACTTGTTCAGCTACACACAGCTTTAAACATCATGTGTAAATATAGAAACAGCTTGTTTGCCTTAGAAGCTGGGCAAATACTCTAGGATGAAGATGATTTTGAGCAAAGATCTAATAACCTTTTTATGTTTCTAAACTCACCTTTTGGTTTATTTGGGGTGGGGGGTATATGTGGGCTAATCTCAATTTTATGCTCAGGAGAGCTCATCCTGGAGGTGTCTGGAGAAACCGTGTGATATTGGAATTCATACTTGGGTCTCTCTTATGCAAAGCATACTCTCTAGCACACTGAGCACTATCTCTGGCTGGGAAACACAATTTTTAATACCAACTATGCCAACTATAGCACTGCACTGCACTGTCCTCCCGTTGTTCATCAATTTGCTCGAGCAGGCACCAGTAACGTCTCACAACAAATTGTGAAGACTGTTTTTGGCATATCGAATATGTCACAGGGAGCTTGCCAGGCTTTGCTGTGTGGGCAAGATACTCTCGGTGGCCTGCCGGGCTCTCCAAGAGGGGCTGAGGAATCGAACCCTGTCGGCGGCGTGTGAGGCAAACGCTCACCTGCTGTGCTATCCCTCCAGCCCATTTCAACTATACAACATTGCAATAAACTATCTAGGTCTATGATAGCCAGATTTTATGTACTCGCCATGATTCCCATTGATGCACACTGCCAGAATCATTAATTGGGATCAGAAAGGTAGTTCAATGGGCTAAAGCGGATGCTGTGCCCACAAAGGCCCCAGTGCCATCACTAGGACTGCAAAGTCTCCCAAGCACCACTGGGTGTCCCTGTGGTCCCTTCCCTCACCTGGCCTGAGCAGTGCCCCACTTTAGGTTCCAGCAGCACTGCAGTGCTGAGTCTGAGCACTGTACTCTCAGGCTCACACAACAGGGTAAAGTATTGTCAAGAATGGTCCCAGGTGCCTCTAGCACTACTTGAGAGCCCCACGGTCCCCAAATAGAAGAAAGTCATCTTGTCAGTATGATGTAACCTAGCAAATGTCCTTTATAAATTCATGCATTTTATTGATATCATGACTAACATGAATATTCAGCTTTGGAATTATTATATTAGTCAACTACCTAGGAACAGTCAAGACTTTTTAATCAGTTTCAAAGTCATTCTGCCAATTGTCAGGCATATAAACAAAGGTGAGAGAGGCAAAAGTTGAAATGATTTATTAAAGAGAAGTCACGCTTCCTTACCTGAAATATTTTAGTGCTTGGCTTCTCATTTGATAGTGGCAAGATGTATCTTTTTTAAAGAAATAATCAGTCTTCAGTGTTTTTATAGCATTGGTTACTACAGAAATTATACTTCGTTTACTTCGTGTCTTGAAGGGTGAACAAAATAAATAAACTGAAAATGCTACAATGAATGGTAAATGATGAAAGATTTACAGTACAAAAAACAGTGTAAAAAGGAAGACAAGTTTAAATATTGTTGTGTAAGAAAGTGATGAAAATAATACAAGAATGAGAATAAGTAAAATGATAGGCTGGAACATCTGGGAAGGTAAATGCAAAGAAAAAGAAAAGAGTTAATTAATAATAATTAAAAAAACCCTAAGTTTATTAACAACCTACCTAAGCATTCATTCAACTTAAAATAAAGAACCCTTGCCCAATCCCCCAGCAAAAAAAAAAGCTTAAACCTATACTTATGAATTCTGAAGAGTTTATTATTATTATTAAAATAATAATAGAACCTATTATTATGAAGAGTGCTTCCTCTCACTCTGATTTCTATTTTTCTTCCCTGAAGATAAAATTGTAAAAACACATGCTCAGAGTATTAAAAAAATCTGCAACAAGGAAATGAAAAACCAATTATTTAGCTTAATATAAGTAGACAAAAAAGCTTTATCATTTCACAGTTTAACAATTTTTTAGCATAGAAGTATTTTGTTGTTTTTTTTAATTCACAGCAAAGCAGAGCAACATGCAAGATCAATAAGCAGAAAGGTTGCGAGTTTTTGACTTGCAACAGGCAAGGAAATGGGTATCATGCTTCTGGTTTTCCTGATTTATAAATTTAACGCGTGTCTGTAAAGCCATGCATGTTGTACTTCCAGTGGGTTCTCCAAGGGATACAGGCTTGCCAGAGGCCGCAACATTGCCTGTTTTGCTTTATAAATTTTCTCTTAGGTGGTTAACTCTGACAAAATGCATTGGTCTTTAAGGAGCCACCATACCTGGCTACAGCAGCTCAGTCCAATTCATCAGGTGTGCCTCTACAATTAGGATGAAGGAAAAATGCTGGTTTTCCCTGTTCGGGAATGGTTATTACTAGTTCTCTGATTTGGTATTGCCTTAATGTGAGAGTATAATGCTCCTTCCCCAGTCCTGAGTGTCTCCACTATACAGCTCAGTGATTAGAAAGAATGATAGGATTACTTCGACTTGTGCTAAATGAGTGGCTTCCGTGCGGGCCTTTAGTTAGGCCTCTACACACAGTATCAACTTTTTTTTTTTACCCCCCTCTGGCTTCTACTTTATGCATCAGTCCTGGCTATTTGGCAATTGGAAAAAGATTTAAACTCAATGTGACTCTTGGCTTGGAATCAGCCCACCAAAACCATCGAATCTTCGTGTAGATCTCCTTGAAGCTGGAGCTAATGGGATTAGGAGAGCAATATCAAGCATGTTGACCTTGCATCAGGATTTGGCTCAACATCCTTTCATCTTTAGGCAAAAAAAAAAAGGGGGGGGGGAGAGGAAGGGGAAGGTGGAAGGGGAATAATTTGGATTTCCCTTGCAGACAGAACAGATGGGGGCATCAGGGACTAGAGTGGGAGAGTGACGGAAACCTCAGACCTGCAGGAGGACAGGATGAGAAACCAGGTGCGCTGCGGGGCCTTCCGAGCCCCAGCGGGGTTCTGAGCTGGGGCTCCCCTAAAGCGGGGCGTGGTGGAGGTCGGTGCGCGGAGACGCCCCAGCGGGGACAGCAGCTCCGCGGGCCAGCCTCGCCATCGCCGTGGCTCGCAATAGGCAGAACTGTACCTGACTCACGGATATGGGCTCCTCGGCACCGCGGTCGTCCGCGGACTTGGGCACCTCGAGCCGGTCGATGAAGGTCTGCAGCTCCTTGCGGAAGGCCTTCATCTGCGCGTTGATGCGGTAGAGGAGCTCGTGCTCGCGGATGCGGCTGCCGTCGTCCTCCTCGTCCATCAGTCCGAACAGGTCCCCGTTGGCCACGTAGATGCGCGCCTCGGTGATGATGGTGCTGGTGTCGGCGATGAGCCGGTCGATGGTCTTGCCCAGGCGCTCGGCCTCGGAGCGGATGTCCTTCATCTGCTGCCGGTCGGAGAAGCTCTTGGGCCAGGGCCCCGGCGGGGCGGGGTAGAAGGAGCGGGTGGGCGTGAGGCAGCGGATGTTGCGCACCTCCTCCGAGTCGCTCTCGCCGCCGATGGGCCCCTCGCGCTTTCGGTGCGGGGGTCGCGAGTCGTCGTCGCTCTCCTTCTTGCCCGCGTCGCTCTCGGCATCGCTGTCGCGGGGGCTGCCGCGGATGCCCAGGTGCGAGGCCAGGTCGTAGCGCTGCATGTTGGACATGAGCACGCGGTTCTCGTACTGCAGCTGCATCACCTTGCCGCTCAGCTCGTTGATCTGCAGGCGCGCGGCCTTCAGCTCCTCCTGCAGGGCCTCGGTCTTGGCGCTGTCGTGGTGCCGGGCGCTGTCGTGGCTGCCTGACTTGTACTTGTACTTGTTGAGCTCGGCGGTGATGCGCTTGTTCTGCTCCTCCAGGTCGGCCACGTTGCGCCGCAGCAGCTCGGTCTCGTCCTCCACCAGCTGCAGGTGCTGCCGCAGCTCCGACAGGGACTCGCTCTGCTCCCGGATGAGCGGGTTGGCCGAGCCGTTGAAGTCATCGCCCCGCAGATCGTCGAGTTCTGCCTTCAGGCCTCGGTTCTCCACCTCCAGTTCCACGATTTTCCTGCCCAGAATGTTGGCTTCTTCCTCCACCAGCCTCAGTCGTAGCTTGAGCTCGGCCTCCCGGGTGCTGGGAGGACCCCCCGCTTCTCCTTTGGGCAAAGGGCTGTCCAGATCCCCGTAAAAGGATCTGTACTTCTGGAGCTCGTGTTCGAATCTGTCCTTTTCTTTGTCAATCTTGGCCATTTTCTTTCGCATCAAAGCAGCTTCTTCTTTCACAAACTGCAGCTGGCATTTCAAATCTTCATTGTCCTCCTCATTTGGGAAACAGAGGAAAAGAACATAGATTGCTTTTGAATGTAAATCCAGAAAACAACCCAGATATTTGCAAAAGAAGAAAAAAAAAGACAACTCTTTCTTTTTTTTATAACTAAGATCTGAGGATAGGAGGGGAATGGAGGGAGAGGTAGAAGCTAGGTATTTTCTCCAAATCCTTTAAACAATTTGGTAAACTAAAGATTAGAATATTTCATCCTGGGAAAGGAAAGAAAAAAAGAATAATGAACTGTAGTCATTACAATCCTCCTTGACTGCACAAGACAGTCAGTGTGATATCAATGTTATGTCAACACTGTGTAGATTTTATTTTGTTTAATTTACACGGTTCAAATATCTCTGAGTGTGATAAATGTGCACCCTTCTCCCTGGGAGCACTACAAAGTTCAGAGGCATTAGTTGACATTCAGAATCCTATTAGACAAATTTTGAACATTCTTTTACAGGGTCACCTAAATTTAATGTTTAGAGTAATCACTGGAGTTTAAACAAAAATGCCTGGTTTCAAGAATTTCATAGTTAGATAGCGGAAAGTCAAATCTAAGTTCAATTCTGATACTAAAATTCAGGTTCATGATCTTCTTTCCAGGGAGAAGATAATCTGCTCTCTTTATTCAATGGAGAAATGTCTTAAGGTCTTGAAAATGAAGTTAAACATTAAACTGTCCTTTGCAAGGAGGAACCAGAAGGGGTTCTATCTTAATCCCTTTTAAAATAGGATACACTCTCATCAGTCTGAAACAAAGAGTGTTGCTTTTGCCTGGTAAAAGGATGATGGTGGTGGGCTAGCACAGTGGGTAGGGCGTTTGCCTTGCACTTCAGCCAGCCTGAGTTCAATTTCTAGTACCCTATATGGTCCCCTGAGTACTGCCAGGGGTAATTCCTGAGTGCATAGCCAGGAGTGAACCCTGTGCATCGCAGGGTGTGACCCAAAAAGCCAAAAAAAAAAAAAAGAATGATGGTGTAAGCTCTAATGTTCTTCTGAAACTGTAGGGTATTGCAGCAGTTAAAGTACTTGCCTTGCTTGCAATCACCCTCGTTTCTATACCTGGCAACCTATATGGTCCTGAGAATCCTCCAGGAGTAAGGCCTGAGCACCACTGGGTGAAACCCATAAGCAAAACAAACCAAAAGAACATAAAAAAAGTTCCTCTCACCAATTCTTAGGACATTCTTAAAGCCCTAATCATTAACTGCTCTGAAGTGCAAACAAAACAAAACCTGAAAATGAACTCTTTTTTAGATATAATGTTAACAGCTCATCATTAAGTACAGGGACATGTATTCAAACAATCTCCCAAAATTATCTTTTGAATATTTACTTTGGGCCAATCTCATAACTCTTGACAGTTTTTGATTTCCTAATTTTAAAAAATGGAAATATTAAAAAAAAATAAAATAAAATAAAATAAATAAAAATTTTAAAAAAATGGAAATATTGCAACTGGAGAGCTAGTACAATGGGAAGGTACTTGCACACGACTGAGATTTGATCCATGGTACCCCGTATGGCTTCTCCCACTTCTCTCCCACTCAGAGTGACCCCCTGAGCACAGAGTCAAAAGTAAACCTGAGGGGCTAGAGCAATAGTACAGCAGATAGGGTGTTTGCCTTGCACGCGATGGACCTAGATTCGAATCTCAGCATCCCATATGGTTCCCTGAGCAATGCCAGGAGTAATTCCTTAATGCAGAGTCAGGAGTAACCCCTGAGCATCGCTGGGTGTGACCCCAAAAGAAAAAAGCCTGAGTAGCTGCAGGTGTGACCCCAAAACAAAATATACAAACGGGAATACAAATGTTTTCCTTTCCCTATTCTGAGTCATCTGTGTTTAATGATGAATTTTTGGTAAAGACATAGAAGCCATTAGTAGTGGAAGAGAGGACGAATGAGCACTGCCAGAGATGGAATAGGAATAACACCAATTACTGAAACAATAGACTTCTGATTTTAACACTGAGAACAAGGAATTTATTGAATCTTCTACCTAAATGAGGTGAGTAAGACAAGTGATGACAATATGTGTAATCATCTCCAGTAAAATATCTAGAATGAGGTGATTTCAAGTTATGGCAAATATAGCGGGAAAGCCATAGAAACAGCATATTGAAACATCTTAAGAGAATGGAAAGAACAGAACTAATGATCTTGGCATGAGACTCTTTGGAATTCTCAGCAGAACAACTGTTGAGAACCTACAATTATTCTTGTGCAAATAATAAGAGAAAATTTAAGCCAGACCACAGGGGGAGAAAGAGAAAGAGGAAAATAAAAATTGAAGAAGTTATAGTTTTAAAAATGGGTGTGGTAAACTTGTTCAAATTTAGAATATTTAAATATTGTTTTAAAATTATTTAATGAGAAAATACCCTATAACAGATTTTCTTAAAGTTTGCTATAATACTATTGTTTCAACTTATAAAAGTTATTATTTAGTCATATTTTTGGCAGCTATATGGTCACTTCTGCTTCCACATATTTTCTCTTCTATTTTAAAATTTTCTTCACTTAATCCATCAACACCTTCTGCTTACCCTGAAAGCAGAGCTAATCTTTACTTTGGTTGAGTTTCTAGTAATAGTCTTAAAATAATAGTCTGAAACCCATATGGAGTGTAACATTCCTCTTCTCTCCTCCTTCCCTCCCTCCTTTCCCTTCCCTGCCTCCCTCCCTCCCTCCCTCCCTTCTTTCCTTTCCCTCATTTCCTCTTTCTCTTTTTTTTTCTTTTTGGTTTTGGTTTTTGGGACATACCACACTATACTTAGGGATTACTCCAGGCTCTGTGCTCTGGGATCACTCCAGGTGGAGGGGTGGGGGTAATCTGAGTAGGCTGTTTGCAAGGAAAGTGTACTATCCTTGCAACTATGTTGCAATAAGAAAAGTGTACCAGCTACTATCTGTATCTTGTACCAGCTACTATCTGTAGGACCCCTGGAGTGTATCTTTTAAGCTTTATTCCTTGACCTTCTTTCTTTTACTTCTTCAATCATTGGTATAGGCAGGTATAAAAGTGGGACTTCCTAAAGGTAAAATGAACCTCTTCTCTTCACTATCCAATCCTGAAGCGTTTGGTTTTAACTCTCCACTATGGGAACATTCTATTGGTTTTCTTAATTATAAGTGAACAAGATTAGCACCACTGGTACAGTTTCAAATATAGTAACAAAGTACTAATGACATTATACTTTGTACTTGCATGTACAGACAATGATAGTAAGGATGTTAGCACTGGCTTTGTAACTAAATACACTCATTATATTGCCTCTTCAACTCCATAATTGATCTGCATAGTTAACCTTGTTTTACATGAGTACATCTGGCTAATATGTCTACTTATAGATGTTAATATGGCAATCAAGCACTTATAGAAGTGCCTGATTCTTTTTTCACATACCTCTGTGGGAGTCTGTTGAGTCTTTTTTTCTGATTTTGGTAAATCTTTGCTTCCTCTTCTTTTTAGGGATAGCTGAAAGAAAGCATAATTATATTTAGATGAGAATATCCTAACTTTCAGTCCATTTTATGTTTTCTAGTAGCTTAATCTCATATGACAAAACTAAATCAAATAAAAATCATTACCATAATAATTGCAAAATAGAAAAAGTGAATAAGGATTCTGATCACAGTAGAAGAGTATCTGAAAATTATCAAATTAATTTCAGCACACAGGAACTCAATAGTTAAAAATTCAGAAAAACAACACACAAAATTTAGATTGCTGACTAAATTTGTTATCCATTTCAAATAAAAGTAAGTGCTTGTTAGCGTTCTAAAGGAAAGATAATTTTTAGTGTTTCAAGTGTTGGTATTAGGTTTCTTTAAAGTTATGTCAACATACTTTCAATAGATAATATGGAAAACATAAAGAATCTTCTACTTTCTTAACCAAGCAAATATGCTACATACATACACACACACACACACACACACACACACACACACACACACACTAACACAGTGGAGAATAGTGGGATTATAGTAAAAATGTAAAATAAAGCATTCTCCAATTATAAAAGGGTAGACAGAGCTGATTGGTACAATACAGAGATAAAGATTTCATTAGAGAAGCTCAAAATCACCCACACTTTGTTAGCTGACCTAATTGAAACGGTGACAAGCAACGTTATATAGGTCAAAGAACATATAGCTAGCGCTAAACTGTTGTGTAAACTAGTAGGAGATTCCTGGAACTCAGTCCTATTTCTCAAAATAAATATAATAAGGAGGGCCTTTTTGTATAAAAATAATCCATATGTATGACTACGAACCTTATATCAGATACTGAATAGGAGACCGAAAGACCAATTAAATGTTATATCTACCATAAGGGTGGATTTAGAATGGGAGATTGAGTGATAATGTCCCCCGTAATTCAGCCTAGGAGACAAGGAGGCAAATGATGACAGTGCAAGTTGCTAAATGTCATGCTTTAGGCTCTTTGAAGGAGGGACTTTGTCTTTGTGTAGCATCACTGCCATGGGACAAATACTGGTTACATGGCTGATGGGGAAAGATATTTGATGAGCTAAGGAGTGAATATAAAATAAGAAATCCTGAGGTCAAAAAGTAAAGAGCATAGACTGATAATAAAAGCAGTAAGAGCTTAAAAAATAGAAAAAAAAGACTTAATGAATTGTAAAAGTACTAAAATTTAAAAATTTTATGTTACTTCCTAACCCATATCCAGTGTTAAATAAAGGCATATGTTCAGACACAGAAGGCAAGGGAGACGCTGCTGTAATTGCTTTCCTTTGGTATGAAACTGAATACTCCATGTGGCTATTTAATTCCAGTGTCTTTACAGAAAGATGTTCTCTATGTTGCTAGTAAATTTTCTTAGAAACAAAAACTGTGAGGACTGACTCAACATAACCAAAAGTGATTTAGGAACCAATCCGCAAAGACAATTCCAAGAAAACAAAGACCATATCGAGCTGAAGGAGGGAATCCTGCAGTACTAGAGTGGGGAGGGGCTCCCTGCTGAGAACCACCTAAATTCAACTTATTAAATGTTTATAAAATGCTTCTACTTTGAAGTGATTCCATTATATGTTTAATGCTTGTCAACACACTTCATAAGGCACAAGTTATACAATAAAAAATTAGAATAATCTCTGTTCTCCTTGAGGTTCCAAGTTTATTTGTCAAATGATCTGTTCAGTTGCAATTTTTAATGCAGTGTGATAAAAAAAATTACTCGAAAAAACACATTACCTGGCATTGTTTATTAATCAATCCCAAATACTTTACATACATTATCTTACCAAATTGTTATACCACCACCCACCCCTTAACTTCACTCTGGAGAGGGTAAAATAAAGATTTATAGAGATTAAACAGATGGCCTAAAACAGGAGGTTTTTAATGTGATTTCTTAGAATAATATCATCACCACTTCCATTAGGTAACTTATTAGAAATACAATTACTTAGGTCCTGTCCTAGAACTATTGAATCAAAAACTGAGATAAATTTAGTGTGGTATGATTTTATAAGCTCCCCAGGTCTTCTTTGAATGTGATAGTTAGTGAGGAACTGAGCTAAAACTGCTTCTTGGTCAATAGCAGAAAGACTTGACCAAGTCAAGTCAAGACTTGTATCATCTCATAGATTACATTGCCTAAACCTTTTCTGACTATGGTCTCCTTCCTGTGGCACCCTCTATTTTGTGGGTTGACTCCTAATCTCATGTCATGGCTTCAATTTATGAGATTTTCAGCTGTGTCCTCCTTGGAATAAACCAGGGGTCTATAGGGAGTCATTGTCCCTCAGTTTAAAAAAAAAACAGTTTTGGATAACAAGGAGAAAGTTTTAATCCAGGGTGGAACTGGACATGGAATAGGGAGCTAGGCATGATTTCTAGAAAGAGCTAACCTCTTTTTCTGTTTTATCTTGTTTCGTTTTGTCTTGTTTTGGGGCCACACCTAGTGCCCAAGACTCTGCACTCAGAGATTACTCCTGGCAAGGCAAGGGAGACCTTATGTACCAGAGATACAAGGCAAGTGCCCTGCCTATTCCAGACCTGAAACAAGTAACCTTTTATCTTGTATCTTGTGAGTGAGTCAAAGACAAAAATAAGTTAAAATGGAACAACAAATGTGTATGTAGGAAGGTCATTTCTGAAACAGAAAGAAATTTGGTATGGCTGTAACAAAGTGTGAGGAAAGGTGTAATAGGATTTGCTAGTGATGTCTGTCAGATCTTGAAAGGTGTGTAACTAAGTTTGCAATTATCTCATCCATATCAAATTCTAAGGTCAATGGTGATTATTAAGGGATTTTAAACAAGGTATGTTCAAAATCTAACTATCACAGAAGAAACACAAAGGCAACAGTCCAAATGGCCGTGAGATGAATGATCTTTCCAAAGAAGATGAGAAAAAGTTCAAAATCTAAGAGAACGCCAAATCCTAACCACCAGAACCACCAGGGAGGTTTTCTTTTGTTTTTGAAGTAAAACAGATTTTATTTGGAAGGTTTTAGCAAGGGGAAGGAGGAAAGAAAAGTGTGTGTGTGTGTGTGTGTGTGTGTGTGTGTGTGTGTGTGTGAGAGAGAGAGAGAGAGAGAGAGAGAGAGAGCAAGCACACAACACTTTCAAGAGAGACTGTGGGCTTTTTCAAAGATGAAGAGAGCCCCTACAAATATCCCAGCATTAGATATGAAAGCATGAAAAAAGTACACATCTCAAGAGGGAAGATGAAAGTGCCACATGCGCTTGGCCAGCATATGAGCCAAAAGTTAAAACTCTGAAAGATTGCTTTGTTCTTTAATTTTTCTTCATTCTCTTGCTATTTGTTAGGCACTGGGATATATCCTCAGTATACACAAAATGGGCAAGAATTATTTTATTCTTCCCTGTCTATCACAGTTAAGAGGATTCAGGTAGTTAGCTAAGATTGAAGACAAAATTGCCTAAGAGCAATTAAAAAATTGGGGAACAGTAGAGGAAAGAAACAATTACGGTTCAAAAGTATAAAGAAATGCAAGAAATTTATCCAAGAGGGCTGACATTTGAAACATACATACAAACAGCAAAAGCAAAGATTTAGAGAAATTGATTTATAGATTCACTGACAACTGAAACAAAAGGCAAGAGCCTAATGCTCTTGGGTTTGTAGGCACAGAGCAATTACAAAAATGAAGCTTAAAAGGTGCTTAAAGCATTGAGGTCAGCTTGTGAAGCTGAAAAATACAGACATTATCCTGTAGGCAATATTAAAATAAGCTGTCTAAACAAATATAGAAGAATTGCCTAAACTAGGCCATTCTTTCCTAGGAGGCATCTTATATTTTACTTTTATTTAAGTATTATTTAAGTGAAGTGTGTGTCAAATTCAGTGAAAGTTTGGAGAAAATAAATGGTTTCTCTTTGCAAGAAGTTATATAGCATTTAAGATGCCCGTAGGACTCTATGTGCCTTATCTTGGTGCATTTAAATTTTTTATTGTTGTTTTGGGGCCATAGCCAGCAGTGTCCAGGGCTTACACCTGACTCTAAGGATCACTCCTAGCAGGTCTGGAAGACCATATGGGATGCCAAGATCAAAACAGAAAGAGTAAGCACCCTACCCACTCCGTCCCCTATATTTAAATTTTCAACAAATATCTAATTATTTCAGAATGCCAATTATTTTTCAGTAACTTTCTGACTCATATGGAGCAAATATGCAGATTGATTAAAGTTGCAGGCATAATTTAAGTACAAACATTTTTTTAAGTACAATTAATTTAAGTTCAAACAAAATTTTATCTTCACCTTTCCTGTGAAGATAAAAATTATGACCTTCATTCCTCATGGTCCTCTTCCTCTTTCATCCACTAAAGCTATGAAGTTGTATAAGGAATGTACTAAAGGAGGCTAGAATTCAATCTCAGATTTTCATCTCTGCAAAGCAGGTATCTCAAAGGGGTCACCAGACAAATACGCTGAAAAAAACATGTCTTGTCTACCTTTGTATTCACAACCTCAATTTGTCCCAAAAGACATTGCTGTTCTTTTCATCCATGTGAAAATCCAGAATTAGTTGTTTACACAACAATTATCTGGCTAAATTTTTAACTAAGAATGTTTTGAGACACATTATTTTCGTTTTGGGGACACAGGCGGCCATACTTGCTGGAGTGCATGCTTTGCGTAAGAAAGCCCTGGTTTAACCTGTTTCTTAATATATTGCTTCATTATTTTTTTAGCAATAAAATAATAGATAAGAACCAACTACAGAGGGCTGGTGTCGCCAGCAGGTCAATCTGTACCTGTGAGGTGAGTGCATCAACACCTTCATAGCGCCTTCAGGCTTCCAGATACCCCAAAATTGCTGCCTTTGGCCAGACCTCAAAACCTTGGAGAAAAGTTTACCAAGAAAGTAAATGGCCAAAAGTTAGGAATGTGGGAAACACACCCACAAAACACCTCTGGCTCAGTTATATAATTGGAGGCATGCCCTCTCTGGATCCTGATTGAATTGTTTA